TACAAACAAGAAGAGAAAATTCCTGAGCGATGATAACCTCTAATATAACGCTAACATTATTAGGAAATCTCATTATCAATGCTATAGCACTGCTTTGTACGGCTTTATCGCCAAAGCATACAATAAAAAATTATCGTATTTTGAAGTTTATAAATAATTAATTTTATTCGATTTAAAATAAAATTAGCAAAAATTGCAATTTATGTTATATTTTGACTTTTTTAGTTAAAAATATGATAACTATTTAATCTTCATATTCCGTGTTATAACTTATAAGTAATATTTTTCATTCAACGATTGAATAATGAAAACTATTAATAATGCTATGAAAGCATTGTTATAAATATTGTGATTTTCAATGCTATGAATAGAAATTGCGAAATTTCAAATGTTATACTAATTGTGTAAAAATGTTATTAAACCATTGTCTACCCTTCCATAACATTTCATTATCACAGTTCTCTGGGTTTAGTAGAAGTAATTTTGTTGGCAAATATTGCATAACATTATCTCAGGAAATCTCATCTCAACAAAAAAGACAATTACAAACAAGAAGAGAAAATTCCTGAGCGATGATAACCTCTAATATAACGCTAACATTATTAGGAAATCTCATTATCAATGCTATAGCACTGCTTTGTACGGCTTTATCGCCAAAGCATACAATAAATAAATTATCGTATTTTGAAGTTTATAAATAATTAATTTTATTCGATTTAAAATAAAATTAGCAAAAATTGCAATTTATGTTATGTTTTGACTTTTTTTAGTTAAAAATATGATAACTATTTAATCTTCATATTCCGTGTTATAAGTAATATTTTTCATTCAACGATTGAATAATGAAAACTATTAATAATGCTATGAAAGCATTGTTATAAATGTTGTGATTTTCAATGCTATGAATAGAAATTTCAAATGTTATACTAATTGTGTAAAAATGTTATTACAATCATTAAACCATTGTCTACCCTTCCATAACATTTCATTATCACAGTTCTCTGGGTTTAGTAGAAGTAATTTTGTTGGCAAATATTGCATAACATTATCTCAGGAAATCTCATCTCAACAAAAAAGACAACGAGAAGTGGATCCGCATATTTCACATACGAATTACACTTTCATATGATATGAATCAAATCGTTAGACTTAAGATAGACACAAAACTAGATTGAAATAATTTAATGTTTAATTTAAGTATTTACAGCAAAGTTAGTATTATATAAACCACACATTTAAGTGGTGTATGTGTTAACTGGTAATAAAAAATATTTAACAAATAATTTACGTCAATAAGGAATAAATTATAATAACCTTAAGAGAGATTTATTTAATTTAGAAAATTAAGATTTTGTTTTGCGTGTAATTTAGAAGCGAAGAAATAAATCAATTTTAATTGAAATGGACATAAAGAGCGAAGAATTGTGATTATTGTTTGCGACGGAACTTCATTACCGCATATTTATAGCCTAAGGCTAAGCCCATTAGGAATAGTATGACTTCCAATGAGTACATCACTGACCATAAAACTACACTTAAGGTCGTTTTCCCGAATACGAATCCATAAGTCGGGTTCCCTTTAAATCAAAGCAAATCTATTAATTGCATAACTCATACAACTTATGAAACTAACCGTCCGTTTTGGCGGCCGCGGCAATGAATATCAAATTCATAAAGAAAGCCAAAAGTAAACCGAAATATAATATAAGGTAAGTTGTCATGAGATACATATTGATGAGAAACACTCCAATGAATCCACTGATGAGCGCCACAAACCGGACGGACATAACGATCGTTAAATAAGTGATCATTTGGTTCCGATCGAAGACATTGTCTTGAGTTATAAAGTCGTCGACAATTATGTTGCAAAATGTTTCACAATTCTTGTCAGAGGACTGACACGAGTAACAGTTGGGAGTATTGATGGAAACATAGGTTAAGTATATAACCGCCTGAAGAGATACCAACAATAGTGCCAACGCTATTGTGCCGAAAGTCGGTCGAAAGCAAGTGTACGGACAGTTCAACGGCTGATTCTCTTCATCTGATTCCGATTCGGCGTCTTTTGGTTTTTGTTTTTTACTTTTTTTACTCATTTTGTTTTGTATTGAATAAAACTTGAATCTAATA